CAAACTGCACCAGGACATAAAAAATTCATAAATTAATTATGCGGGGTATATTGAATTAGATGAGAATGCTTAAGAACTGAATTTATCTCAGTAACCAATAATTATCCTAAACATAATCTATGAATATTGACATTGTAGATATTACTGTGCCAAATAAATATCCATTCCAGTCAAAGATGTGGGAGGAAAAGATAAACACCATATATATAAAATCACTTCCAAACTTCAATTCATAAATGTTATAGGGTCCCAGTGAATCGGTAAACACGTCACAATCATCATAAAATTTTTGCAAATGAACTGATGCATGCCCAAGATCTAAGCAATGGCCAGTGAGAAGAAAGCTACGAAGCTACCAATATCCTCATCGATTAAATGACTACAGTTATGATATATTTCCAAGCTTTTCGGAAATTAACCCCACAACAACTAGAGTCAACAAGAACAGAAAACCTATATTGAGTTATACGAATGGTCAACTTACGATGAGATATTTCGATAGAGATGGTCATATGATTTCCTCAGCTTTTCATAAGAAGATGCACTGTCTTCACTAAGCTCCCCTTTAGCATTTACCAGTTTTGCATTTTCTTTCTCCATTTGGAGAAGTAACTGTTAAAAAAAAAAAAAAAATTATTACGAAGATACTACCGAAAAAAGGGAAAACTAGCAAAATGAAAAGAAAAAGGAAAGGGAGGATATGAAAAATATAAAAAATTCCTGCACAAAAGCACATGGGTAAACAATTAAGGATCTAACCTTGTGCTCAGACTGAAGGAGATCTGCAAGAGCATCATAATATGTGTTGAAAGCTTTCTTAAAACTCTTTTTCTGATCTGCAGAAACGTCGAGACCCTTGAAAAACTAGAGAAAACCTTAGTCACATTTAGCTAAGTACCGGAAAATATAGGGATGGCACAGACAAGAGCTCATCAAATAGGGAGGTAAAACTTCAGTTGATCTTGAAACCTACTTACATCTTCGTCTTGTCCAGAAATAGGAAGCCCCAGAAAAACTCTTCCTTGCCGAGCAAAACTGGCAAGAAGTGTCAGATTTGTTTGGGTCGTATCTCTGTCTTTCAGTTGTTCAACACTGGTAAGATCCTTAATAATATTGATAAAGATGTTACTATCTTCTATTACTCCAACATAGTAGAGCTCCAGAAGAAGTTTTAGGGTACTGCGCTTTTTCATGGCCTTTGAGTTTTTATCCGCATCTAAATCTTCGGCAGATTTTCCAGGAAAGAAGACTTTCAAGAGTCCTTGTGTTAGACTAGGAGAAAATTCTTTATACCTCTGATGAAGTAGCGAGCAAATCTGCCAAAATACATGGATATCAGCATTGAAACAAATTCTGAACAGAGAGTATTGCCGTATGCTACGTTATATGCCCCATAAGAAATAAAAAAAAAACTGAAAAGTGACCCAACTATCATCTAAACTAAGAGGACAAGATATCGTTCAACAGAAACATAAACTGGGGTAGGGGATTTGACATACCAAGTGGTGGAAAGCATTAAGAAACTATAAAAAAAATAAAGCTAACAGCTACGGAAAATCTCAATAAGACATGTTGATCACAAGAATAACATAAGAAACAAGGTGTAAATACAGATACAAAAGAACGAGATAGGAAACAGCAAGGCCAACCTGAACAGCTGCTTGTATATCTGAGCTTTTGAGCTTAGCCTCACAAATGGCAGTAACAGCTTCACTAACGAACTTGCTAAGGTTAACACCTCGGAGATCATCCATCAACCCTTCTCGCTGCTCCTCATTGATCTGCTTTAACTTCTTGATAACTGCTGTATTCCGCTTGATACTAGAATCCAGAGTCCTAAGATATGTTGAATCTGTAACAAGGAGAACTCAGTCTCATTAACAACTCAAACTACAGATTCAAAACTATAATAGAATTATCCTAAAATCATGTGCTCTCAAGTCCTGATTGGCTATTACAAGCTTAGAAATTGAAGTAGTCGATGATTACTAACAGAAGCATTGTGGAAACCCTAAATAGTAAATTCCATGAAAACCCCAGAAAACAAAAAACTAACCAGGTCGTTCAGGATTGAGATTATTTTGACGAAGAGTCATTTTAGCTTCCACTGACTTCTTAATCTCTTCAAGACGAGCAAGAGCTTCCTGCAGACGAATTAAAGTATGAGATGATAGTTTCAATTTCATCGAGTAAGACAAATCCGTAATCTCGAAATCAAACCTCGTCGTCTTGTTTCTCGCTGTGGGTTTCATCTTCTGGATGATCCATTAGGGTTCAGGTAGATAATTCGTACGAAATTTGAGTCAAGTGATCGCTTTTTCGATCAGACTTAGGTTTAGTGTGTTGTTTACCGGAGAAAGAGATGATAGAAACCGGCAAAGGAGAGACTGAATGAGAGAAAAGGCCCAAACGGGTCAAAAAGACCCAATCAATACCAACGGGTTTTACCCGACAGGACTAAGCAGTTACCAAAATAATTTACTTTTCCTTTAAAAATAAACGCATTAATTAATCAAAAATGTTTTCTACATATACCAAACCAGAACCAAAAAAAAATTCCTAATCCATCGTGTTTCCTTACGCGTTTCGGTGACATTCTTTCGTATTTCCTAGAGTTTCAAAAACAAGAAACAAACTTCGGAAAAAGTTTCCATGCAACATAAGTTCAAACTTCAAACTCAAAATGTTTCATAAAAAAGTAGATATACTAGAACTGCATGGATTTAAATATGGGCTAATAGTCTAATACAATGCTTGTTATGGCATATGAATTTGGTTGGAATAAAATCGTGTCCTAGAGATTACCAAATTTTGGTCCAAAGTTACATGAATTCAAGAGCAAAGTTTAGGGTTTTAGAAAAAGAAGAAGTGTTTTTCATATAGGAGAGACGTTAGGGGTTTGCTTTGGTATGAATGTTAAGTATGCTTCGGTTTTCTCTTTTGGTTTTACGTCGATATTATTTGGTTTAGCTTGACATTTAATGGCTCTAACTGGTAATCATTTAAACAAAGTTGATAATTAAGAGATTTTTTTTTACTGCATAGTGTAAGTGATTATAAATTGAATAACAAAATAAATAAATAAATTATATTTACCCAATACATTTTCTTGAAAAAATATTATAAATTTATGAAAAACAATCAAATAAAAAAATCTGTTAAATCAAATCAATTGGCTTGTGTATTTCTTTTTTTTTCCTTTCATTTTATTTTATTAGAGAAAAAAAATAGAATTAGTAAAGCCATGGAGAGGGATAGTGACATCATCACATAAAGACATGACACGTTTTTCTCACGAGCCTAAACCAATAATTTCTTCTTCTTCTGCACCGTGTTCTTCTCTCCATGGCGGTTTCTCACCGTCTCTTCAGGCCGGCGACGACGACGGTGAAGAATACTTTTTCTTCTTTCTTAATTAGGTCTATTTCTTCTTCTTCCTCTTCTTCGTCTGGGTCCTCGCTAGACCCCAAAATTGATCTGGAGGAGGCCGCGTCTCAGCTCGAGAAGTCTTCGTCTACGTCGACGTCTCCGTCTCCATACAAAGGCAGAAATTTCCACTGGGTGTTTCTTGGATGTCCTGGTGTTGGTAAAGGAACCTATGCTTCTCGTCTCTCTTCTCTCCTCGGCGTTCCTCATATTGCCACTGGTGATCTCGTTCGTGAAGAGCTCTCCTCCTCTGGCCTCCTCTCCTCTCAGGTTAGAATTTCTCAATCGGCGATTGAATTTGTGTAGCTGTGTGTGGTTCTGTTGATTTGTTCTTTGTTTATTGTTCAAATCACTCTCTAATCTCTATAGAGATGCTTAGTGAAACCTCATTTTGATGTCTTTTGGATGTAAATGTTGAGTTTTGGTTGTTAGTCTCATATGAGGTCACAAATGTCATCAACATGATGTGTGCTAAGATCAGTTTTTTCCTCTGAAATGAGAATTCTTTTGGTATAAGGAGGATCCAAGGATGGATAACGAATTTGGGCTTGTATTATTGAGTTATGTGATCAGCCATCACAGGTGTTTTTTAGATGCTTATTGTTTGTTGGTTGTGAAGTGGTTGGCCTATTTATAATTGTTAATCATTGCTGCATCGTGTGTAGCTGAAGGAGCTTGTTAACCATGGGAAATTGGTTCCTGATGAATTCATAATAAGTTTATTATCAAAGCGGCTCCAAGCTGGCAAAGAGAAGGGTGAATCTGGATACATTCTGGATGGTTTTCCACGAACTGTGACACAAGCGGTGAGCATTGTATTGCTTTTGTGTGTTTGAAGCTAATGGGGGATTCTCTGGTTGAATAACCTTGACATCGTCTCTGTTTTTTTTTCTCTGTCTTGTAGGAAATACTGGAGGGAGTAACTAATATCGATCTGGTGATCAACCTGAAGCTTCGAGAAGAGGCATTGCTTGCCAAATGTTTAGGAAGAAGAATTTGCAGTGAGTGTGGTGCAAACTATAATGTTGCGTGCATTGATATCAAAGGTGATGATGATAGTCCCAGAATGTATATGCCTCCGCTTCTTCCTCCGCCAAACTGTGAATCAAAGCTTATAAGCCGAGCTGATGACACCGAAGAAGTTGTCAAGGAAAGACTCCGGATTTACAACAAAATGGTAAAAGTAGATCTTCTATCTTCTTCTATGATTCAAATTTTCATAGAATTAACAATGTTTCTATATGTTTCCTCTTTCACAGACTCAACCAGTGGAGGAATTCTACAAGAAGCGCAGGAAGCTATTGGAATTTGAATTACCCGGTGGAATTCCAGAGTCATGGCCAAGGCTCCTTAGAGCATTACACCTTGAAAACGATAAACAGTCTGCAATAGCATAATCTCTCTCTGCATTGTATGATTGAATCAAACAACTTGTACTACATTCTTTGCTCGAGTAATCTTCCTCGTGCATATATGCTTAAGATAGTCAATAAAAGAGATACATGTCCCATTATGGTTATTTGATGCATATATTATATAGTGAAGTTTCTTGGTGGATTCTGGTCCACTATAGATAGTTGAAAACTCTTTGTCATACAAACAGAGGTTTGACTTACAACGAATTGTTTCTATATGCTTACCAAAAAAATTATGTAATTCAATATCTACTAGTTATGTCGACAATCTAATCGGCGATTTGTATAATTATATACCTTAGGGAGTGTCGCAGTTTCTTAGAGCTTTGTGTCCTTCTGCTATGAAGTTTGTGTTTTGTCCTTCTGTTGATGATTTCCGTCATTAACTTGCTCCTTAGGTTTTTGATATGTAGTGTTCTGCAATCGCAGGTCAGAGAGGCCTTGTTAATATGCCAGCACCAGATTCACATGTAATATTCACAATTGGTTTTGAAGACCAAAGAAACTCCAACTGTTACATACACTCTCTTGACTATATGAGAGTCAGAGAAAGAAGAAGACTGACTTGGATAAGATTCTAGGGACTGACCATGACCGGCAAATCTTGCTTCAGTTGCCTGAAAAGTTTCAGAAAACAAATGGTGACTTAATGCACCCAATGGAAAGTCTAGTTTTCTACACCAAGTTCACTTGATATATGCCAGAGAAACAGACCGTGGTGAAGGTTGTGCTTTAACTTGGCCAGATTGATACTGCAAAGTCGCCTCCAACATGGACTCTGCCATAACTGCCCTCTCCTCCATCTCAGCGAGCGCTGCAACAGCTTCTTCATATTTTTCCTACACCATAAGCATTATCATACTGAGGATAACTTTTTTTTGTCGCCTCGAATACGTGTATTCTGAGACTAAGAAACTCTAGCAAGATTACATCCTCATGAAGTAAACATGCCACAAGGTATCATGCTAAAGAAGAACCAGCAAGCTTCAAGTTTCTAGGAAGGAATCATTAGGCGTAACAATTTCTATAGCAAGTATATAATTCAGTGGATAAATCAAACACTTAGTTGACCACACACACACACACACAAAATAGAGGTTAGCAGTTAATACTCTTTGAAACAGATAGGTAACACACTTTCATGAATAGTTGTAGTCAATGCAAACTTTCTAACCTGAAGTACTTCAGCAGCATATCTCTGTGCTGCTGCATCCTGCTCAGCAAGTCTCCGTGCATCTTCTGTTACTTTATGTTCTTGCTCCATTCGCATCAAGACCTTCATAAATTTCAAGTGGTCTTAGAATCACCATACACTGAATTGCAATAGAAGAGAACTGATTAATCTGAGAAATAAACAAGTTGCAAATGCAAACCTGTATCATAGCACCTTCTTGCTCTCTCTTATCAGAAACAAGTCTTCGAAGCTCTGTCACCTCTTTCTCTAACTGCTCAATCTACCCAAAATTTATGTTCAGTAGCATGAAACAAGTCAGGCTAACTCAAATAGAAGGAGCAAGCATCATCCATATTCATGACAGCATAGATAAAGAAATAACTGAACGTACACCCACATGCTCAATTAGGAAACAGAGTTTCAAATCACAAATGGGAATACCTTAGCCTTCAGTTGACGCCGATTGTCTTGTTTGACCATCTCCACGAGAGCTACCTCCAACTCTTCAGCTCTATAATAACATAGGGAGTGATCGAGGGATAATAAGGAGATATATAAAATTTCACGAGTGATTTCAATATTCAAAGTCATATACTAAGATAAGAGATTAACCTTAGTAAAGCGGATCTTTTCTCCTCAAGCAACTTGTGGAGTTCACCCTTCAACCAGAGAACCTGGAGTCGTTGTAAGCAAATGTTGTTATTATAAGTTGAGATTGCAAGTACTGGCTCTAATGCGTACTTGTATTCACAGTAGTGGTATTAGTTGGTCCAGCTAAAGTTCATGTAAGAAACTTTCTTAATTGTTACTACCCATCACATTTATCTTTCAAGTTCCTAGGGCAAGATCTCCAACCCAACAGAAAGGATGACACAAATCACCTGTCCTTGAAGATCTTGAAAACAATCTATCTCACCATCCCCAGTCAGGCTAATAAAGACGTCGTCTGCATAACTGGATCCCGATTCAGAACGAGATAAACTCCCATTTGATGATGAGGCTTTGCTAGCTAAAACAGAATTTGGGTCTTGCTTAGAATTATGTAATTTGGTCGCAGGGCCTTTTGAATCCCTCCAAGCTTGAAGCCCCTTTAATCTTTCCTCAAATGCAGCTATTACTGCTGGCCTGTGTTTGCTTCTTAATTCCTGCAATCTACTTTCATGTACACTCTGGTAACCCATGCAAGCAGTGAAAACGAGCTGGCTGCTATCAAATGTTGAACCAGTCATTGATTGTAGCAAAGTAACAGCATCTCCAGTGTCCTTGGTTGTAACCAATGCAGGACCTGATATGGCAAGCATAGAAAATTTAGAGCAATTCCATTGATTATTACTTAAATCATATGGACACTTAGGTTCAACCGGGTACCATAAAATTCCATCAATGCAAGTGCTGTTCTGAAAAGCATAACACGATTTCCTTCAAATAGAAGCACATCCCACACTCTGAGAACTGTTATACCAAAGAAGAAATTTTAGACTGACATTCAGAAAACGTAAGAATATATAAACAATTTGCCTCTAAAAATAAAATTTTCAATTCCAATTTATAAAAACCTGACCACTTTCCCATGGAAGCATATTAATGAAGATGGAAAGAAACCATGGCCCTGTAACACAAGCCACCTGGACTCCAAGATAATCTAGATGATGAACTGCAGATGGACAGAAATCACAAAGAGTGTTAGCACCAACTCCAAATTTTTGGTAAGATGAAACAAGACTATGAAATAACTAACCCAATTTTGGAAATCTCTCTCGAAGCAACTCCTCCAGAACTTGTTGGTCAACCTGGGGAAAGTAAAATCTTTTATGATGAGAGCACTAGTCGGCCCTAAAGGATACGAAAATACTGTACAACAAAAAGATTACTGTTTTACCTGGGACTCGATCATCTCTTCTGAATAATAATCATGGAAGTAGTCATCAATGATTCCTATAAGCGACCTTAAAATTCGAAGTAATATTTAGTTAAATTACATGTTTGTTAAGAAGAAGATTTGAGGAATGGCCTAACAGTAGTTAATATCTAACCAGAAGAAAAGGAAGTCATAGATACACGAACTTCATACAGAACCAAAGAGTTGGATTGTCTTTGACAAACAATATTAGGCGTTAGAGAGTAGTGTCCGAACATACCAAAAAGCATTCTCTTCAGGCATCAGAAGTAATAAAAGTGCAGCGAAGAAATTCATTGCCTGCACATGATTTATTTAATCAAGATAACTGAGATGTTCATTTTTGTGAGCATGACACCATACTAAAATACAGAAATGACAGTATTTAATAACCGAATACCTGACAGTATCCAACAGAGGGATTATGCCTAGCATATGCAGTTAGCAATCGCCGCAGAGCATCTCTGAAATCATCATCTAGGGCAGGATGACCTGGAAATGTCCGGGGTAAATCCTGTAATGAAATAAGCAACAACTTGAGAAAAATGACCAAGATCAACAGGAGTCCAGTACTGCACCATTAGTTAAAAAATTCTGGATGCCAAGTAATGGAGGATAATACAGTTGCTAACCTTTTCTATCTGTCCTTTCCATTTTTGCACGACAGCGAGGGGGTCTGTACTTGAACCTTTCTCATCTGCATGCTGCATGTGCTCCTGCTCTATGTCGTTTCCTAGACTATCAGCAGCTAGCAGATTTTGGTAATAATTCTTGACCCGACGTTTCTTGACTCCCGCAAATGCTTGCCAGAGCTGAATATTTGAATGTATAATTTCAGATTATTGAGTAGAAAATAAGGATAATAAGAACAAACTTTCAATAGCAGGAGAATGCTAGACAAGAGAAGGAGATAATACAGAATGACAGGATTTCTTACCTCACCCCTCAGAGCCATAGGTGCCCCACCATGAACAAGAACTTCAAGTTCGTCTTTCCAGGGGCATGCAGATACTAGAGAAGTTGCGTCAGCAGCAGCAGACATGCTGGAGACACTTGCACCATCTGAAGAACCATCCTGAATTGGATCTGATCTCTCCACATCATAGAACTCGTCTTCAGAATCATTCTCAGACACACCCTTTGAAGATTTGGTCTCATCAGTTGAGGGTAAGGAATTCAATTTCTGCGCTTCTTGGTCACCATTTGTAGAATCCCCCTTCATTTTGACACGGACACTCATCAAGTCCTCAATTGCTTGAAGAGATGGTCTGATCTCAGCCCATAACTGAAATTTGTGCACATTCTTCTCTGCACTGGGAACTTCATCTTCCTCTCTCGCATTCCCAGGAGTTAAATCAGAACTTGGCTTGTCAGTTTCTAGATCTTTTCTTTCAGCACCCTTGTTTGATTCCTCTTCTTTTTTCTTGTCACTCTCACTTGGATGTACGTGATTATTTTCAGACGATCTATTCACGCCAGATTCTGCATGAACTTCCAGGAAATTGTTCCACCTGGCTGACCTCTCCTCTTCCTCCTCCTGCAGTTTATCAGCAAAAAACAGCATTAAATTGTTACTAAATCATGTAAAAGAAATTTCCGAGTAGAAAATAAAAATTATGGAGATAGAAAGAACCTTGTAGATATCAACATATTCTCGGTATCTTTGCACATGCTGAGGCCTCACAGAAAATCCATATGCATCCCTGTTCATAAAACCAACCACATTAACTTCCTCAGTACTAACTACTAAGAATATTTCAGTTCCATCCATAAATCGAACAAAATCTCAGTAATTTTTTTTGTAGCTTATTGCAATCTAACAAATCTCACTATTAGATGAAATCAATCATTGATCATTAGATTCCCAACTAACTAGTGATCTAAAAAGACGGCATTTTGCTCAGCAAATCGAGAGCAGAGAGACTAACAGAGAGAAACCGCAATTTCAAAAAAAAATCCCTCAAATATAGTAAATTAGAAACAGAAACACAAACAGTTAAGCAATGTAGCAATAGTGAAGCTCGAAAGGCGATACCTTTTGTGGTCAGACTTAGAAACGGCATCGGCGATCATAATTCCTTAGTCGGAGAACGAGATCTCTCCGAGTAGAGGCGGTGATAGTAGAAAAAGATTGCTGACCGAAGAAGAAGAAGAAGATCCGGTGGAGCAAGTAACACTAGTTGATCATCATTACACGCGACTGAAGTTGAAAAAAAAAGATGAAGTTACTACAGTGTCCGAGACAGAGACGAAGAAAAAGGTCCGAGATTATAGAGGACGTTATTGTATACTTTAATTATTTTCTTTACTTATCATCATTTGCCCGAAACTTTTGTCCTTCTTTGGAAATAAACTTTTACATAGATTAATAAATTTTGGGCCTAAATCAACTAAAGCCCAACTTGTTTCGTGTTTGTTTAAAAGTCATTTATACCCTTTTTAGTCCACGTCACCACCGTCGTCTTTCCCAATTTCTTTGAATTTTTCCAGGTACCCTTAAACTTCATCTTCTTCGATTTTTACCTTCTTTTTTTTTTTTCTTCAATTTTGCAATCAAAAATCGAAGCGATCCAAAATAGTAGCTCGCCCATGCTCAGATCCGGTCTCGCTTCGTTAATCGTCGATGTCAATTTGCGGCGCACGTTACGTCCATCTCCAACCTTTTCTTTTCCGGCGCATCTTAGCCGCTGCATTATCACTTCCCGTTACTCCTCCCGTACAGCTCTAAGGTTTCCAATTCGAATATCTCTCCACAACCACCGCCTTTCCTACTTTTCTTCATCCTCTTCGTCGGAGCAAGGCAGACCAACTTCCTCTTCCCGAAACAGTTTCAGTGGTCACGGTCAGCTTGATGGTGACGACAATTCTTCACCGCCTCCGTCGCAATCATCTTCCAAAGTTCTTACATTACCCACCGTATTAACACTTGGTCGTGTCGCCGCCGTCCCGCTTCTCGTCGCAAGTACGTTACTTTGTTACCTCCAATTGTTTTGGATTCGAATGTGTCACAGTATTTGAACAAATGGGTTTAATAAGTTATCATGATCCATTCTGGGTTTGTAGAATCATTTCGTGAGCTCATTTTTTTGGTTTTGCTTGAAAACAACATTAAACACAGATACACTTAATCTTTGGCTAATGTGGATTCTAAGCTTTCCTGTTTGTTTTATCGAGCGTCTAGTTTCCATTACTTTAAGTTCCAATCTTGTGGGAGAGGTGTCAGTTTTTTTGGATTTTATCTTATGTAAAATTGTTCATTCTTTTGTTTTTGCTTGTAGCCTTTTACGTTGATAGTTGGTGGGGAACAACTGCTACAACAAGCATTTTCATTGCAGCAGCCATTACAGACTGGCTTGACGGCTATCTTGCCCGCAAGGTTCTTTCTTTTTACCATTATCTGTGTCTTCGATATGTTTTCCCGCATTTCACATTGCAATCTTAACGGGTCCGTCTGATCATGTACAAATTTCAGATGAGGTTAGGTTCTGCGTTTGGTGCCTTTTTGGATCCAGTTGCAGATAAGGTGTGCAGATTTGTCTTCCTTTAAGCCCTCTTTGAATTTTTTTAACACCAAAGCTTTATTATAGTTGAAAAAGTGATCTATGTAGACTAGATACACATATCTCTGATTTATGTATGTCTTGGCTTTTCAGCTTATGGTTGCAGCTACATTGATTTTACTGTGTACAAAACCTATCGAAGTTGCTGAATTAGGACCAGTTCCATGGTTATTGACCGTACCTTCTATTGCAATCATTGGTAGAGAGGTAAGATTTATAGCATAATTGATTGTAATTCCTTAATATCATTCACTTGCAGAATAAGTAAACATGTCCTTAACTATATATAATACATTTTTAGATTACTATGTCCGCAGTAAGAGAATGGGCTGCATCTCAAAATGGAAAGCTTTTAGAGGTAAATCACCAACATCTCATCTCTGATATTGTGGTGTCTATGAGCTTTCTTATTGTTTCTGTTCTTTTTGAATCATGAAATGGCGTTGATTGATGCTTGCAGGCAGTTGCTGTAAATAACTTGGGCAAGTGGAAAACCGCCACGCAGATGACAGCACTAACCATACTTCTTGCAAGCCGAGATAGCAATGTTGGATGGCTCGTAGCTTCAGGTGCTGGCTTGCTTTATGTATCAGCAGGACTATCGGTTTGGTCTTTAGCCGTTTATATGAGGAAGATATGGAAAGTACTAATGAAGTAGTATTAGCAGTAGTAATGTATTATTGGTTTTGTTTTGCTTTGACCTGCATTTGGATATATGTATTGATGGAAAGGGTCTTCATCGCCTGTACAAGAGCACAAAACTTGAATGCTGCAACACTTAAGTAGTTTGAGAATATGTAGATGATTTTGCTTTGCACTTTTCCAACACAATATAGTGTGCAACAGTCTTGGTTGAGATTAAAGCCTTATAATGAGTGTATTGTATAAACGATGAATACGTATTTCCAACATATGGAACAAACATTCTTTATTCATACACTGCAGTTTCAAATTATCGAACAAAAAGTCTACTTCTGATTAGCTTTGTTGGTTCAATCATCTTTACTCATATGCATTCAATATTAACTGTAAAATGATTCGTTTAAATATGCACATGGATTATGCCTCTGACTTCTGGCATCACTAGCATACCCAATGGTCCCTGTCAGATTCATGTTTCAGCAAAATTAGGCAGAGTCAACATCACGTCAAAGGCCAAAGGAAATAAGTCAATTCCCCAAAAACCCATCTCTGGTAAGAAGAATTGTTGATTGTCTGTTTTGCTTATTTCTATGAAGTTGTCTATGTAGAATTCTAGAGTTCCTCTTATAGACTTTGTGGCTGCGGACAATGGCATCAGTTCTCTGCAAGTAATGTTCTCTGCAAGTAATGCATTTGTCAGCTTTTGGCCTAACATGTTTACAAGGTGCGGAAACTATGTTAAGGTTTGAGTCACCACCATTAGTGAACTTGTCAACATCACATCAAAGGGCCTAGTTGTTCTGGTGATTTGAAGAAATGGCTTTCGTAAAGCAAAGTATTACTATGTCGCAGTACCAAAAGGATTATATTATGTTTCGATAAAGAAGTTACGACTTTCAATAATCAAGACCTAGTAGCCAAAAAAATTACAGAAGCTGCAACAGCTGTGGTAAACAAAATGTCTGCAATCTGCAATTCAATTCGTCTAGACATTCTGGAAATCCAAGAGCCCGGCATTAGCTGCTGAAATCCAAATGTCCTTATTCCAGGAGCAGAATCCAGATGTCGAAGTGGAAACAAGTTTTCACTGAAAGGTGAGATGACTCGGATATCGGAAGAGATGCAGCGGACCGTATCTGCCTGAGGATAGTATTTGAACAACCGGTTCTGACTGTCATGGAAGAAAAGATTACCTTTCTTAGAAACCGCCACAGGCCTGCACCACAATCTCCATGTTATAGGGTCAAGACCTCTAGAGAACAAATATATAGTGTATGTCTTGCTCCATGTTTCGTCTTCTACATCCATGGTCCATATCTTTAACTCCCAATAATTAGGTGGAGCATTCGCTATGGCTATGGCTAGACGGTCTTCAAGGTTCACTAGCTGGCCTGGCTGCGCGGGTGCAGGTGGTGGAGGAACATCACGAAACTCTTCAGTATGAAGATCCAAAGCTAGTATCTTGAAACCAGGTATGTACTGCAACCAATAGATAGACCCATTCACACACGCCGACTTCCTTCTAGCTTCCACATAGTAAGGAGGTGGACTTGGCAGTATCCGCCATTCCCCAACGTTCAAATCAAGAATCTCAGATTGTTTAGTATCAAAGAACATCCTCACTACTTTATAGCTCCCATTAACTTCGTCCCTACCGAATCCCATTGCCCAATATCCAGGGAAAATGTCGAACCAAGAATCTGCGATTTCAATATCTTAATTAACTAACATTTATCAGAAAGGAAACCAACTTTGTTCTTCTTAAGCAGAGAAATTCTTACCGTCGGAATAGAGGCGATCATAGCGGTCGGTTTTAACTGGATCTGGACCGGAAGGGAAGCTGAGTAACTCTCCGGTGGAAGGATTCAAAACGTTGATCCAACCTGGTAGAGGGATGCAAACAAGACCGTCACATGTCAACGAGGGTCGTGTGGCGGCTGCATCGCAGTGTAAATAGAACATCTCGACCTCTTCTTCGTCGTCATTTAATCGCCCCACGGTCCGGTGATTTCCGGCCGCCGCCAGGATTTGCGGCTTATTTAGAACAGTATTCATAATCATACGCCTCCTCTTCGCGAAACTCCTCGACACCAGTATTGATCTCCATTGTTTTGAGACAGTTTTAAATTTGAGGAGCGATTTCAAGGGCAATCGGAGACAAATTTCTTCCACTAGATCGGCGGGAACTACTAGGTCGTTCATGGGATTAGGATTATTTTTTTCTCGTCTTTGGTAGGATTTAAATTATTTTATCTGATATATATTTACAGTAGTACTAGTAAGGAAGTTTTGAAATTTTGGTCAATAATCTTTTCTTAATCTGGGACTAACATTAAATATACCTACTTGTTAAGGCTTAAAATCATTTATTTTCAGTGAAGATTATAATTAGAGGACCAAAACCAACATTTCCACACAAAAAACAAACATTGCTAACCGAGTGACCTATCTTGGTGCCAATATATCACTCTTATGATTTGTTTCTCCTTTGAAATTAATGGACCGGTTCATAATGTTCAGTTAGTGGAACAACAGCATTGGCCAAAACATCCAAGTTTTGAGTCATGGTATCAACCACAAACATCTTGTATAATGAGAGAGTCTCTCAACAACATTGCCAATGACACAGGCTCAGAACTCAACGCCTTGGACTTGCCATATGACTATAATTAATGAGAGTCTCTCAATGACACTTCTTGCAACCGAATGAGCCAATGCATCCCTCAAACCTTCAGATTTCCGTTTGTCTTCGCCGCCACTATCTCATAGTAGTGCTCGCAGGGGAAGCCTCTTTCCTTTGGTACTACCAGAGAGGCTACTATGCGAAGAACCGCTCTTTTGTTTACTCCGTTCTAAATGTTCTTCTCCATCAATGTAACGGTCTAAGAATTCACTCGAGCCATTACTAGAACAACTTGACAAACTTCCAGATTCTTTAAATTGTCTTTCCGGAGTAAAACATCTAATTATGCATGCTTTTTGAATTCTCAATTGATTGTACCAGAAATTGTGGAGAATCTGGTACAATTTAAAGTTGGCAGCTACCACCACCTCCAAACAAACTGAACTACAACATGGAAGGAAGGATCCAACATATGCATGTTGCATGGGATGGATTCTAAGAAATGAGTGTGGTCAAATGGTATGGAGCTAATTAAGGCTTTTCCAAAACTAAGACCCATCTTGGAGGTAGAAGCAACAGCCGTGGGCATTGACGTCAACTTGGGTTCAAAGAGGCCTGCTTTAAAAGTGATTCAAGCTGTTTGGTTCAAGCCATTGGTTCTCCTCAAGCATGGCCAAGACTTCAAGGCTTTATAAAGGACATCTTGTGGAGAAGGGGAGAAAGACTTAAACCAACATCTTCTTTCCAATGTCGTCAAGCTAAGCAACGTGCACACATAATTTCTACAAAGACAAATCTCTTCCCTACCTAATATCTATCATGTTGTAGTGGAAAATTCTACATCAAATTGGATGTTCCAATTATTGAGCTTGATAAGCAAAAAAATGTACTTGGTAGTTCATAGTGACTAAGTTCGAGTTATTTAAAAGATCACATTTATATACATTCTCATCCAATTTATAGAAGTTCAAATAAAGTTTAATGTTTGTGCTAAACATTTATGATATTGAAGTATTTTCTAAAATTTATTTATGTATTGGACTCACATACGAATGTGTAACAAGAATCTAGTACCCACAAATTGTTAACGTCTAATTTTTCATTTATCACTTTAAAAACTACAACAAATTAAATAGTTTATCAAAATATTTTAATAAGTCATATTTGAGCTTAATTTGATATTTGTTTTAAATATATATGTCATCAAGAAAAATCACGTACATATTTAATTTTAAATAAGTACCTAATTTTATAAAATCTAACTACAAAATTCCAATCATATTTTACATCAAATAAATGAAAAAAAAAAACATAAGAATAATTTTCGACAAATATTGTTATAATCTACAATTTCGGAGAGGAATGAAGAATTTATCGACAAATACTGTCATACACAAGTAAATTTAACGCTATTTTATTTTATTTTATTTATATATATATATATATAAACACATTTTGAAATTTTAGTTGATTTATTTTTCTTAGTATATATAATATATATATATATATAAACACATTTTGAAATTTTAGTTGATTTATTTTTCGAGTTACTAAATTTTTGTGTTGAACTAGTCTGAATGTGTAATTGTGGGTGAAAATTTGTATAGGTTTTCATTAAATTATATACATATATAACACATATACTGTATATTGTACACCATAAAATTAAGAGATGACTTTCGCATAGTAACTTTTATCTATATTATAGGTCTTCACATGACTTTTTTTTTTTTGAACAAACTTAGCACCATAAAATTAAGAGATGTGCTTCATAGCAAAGTTGTAGAGATCTCGCGAAGACTGAATACTGTTTAATCTCGCGAAGGAGAAGGACGCTGAGAAACTGATCATTCATAACAGACAAAAATTTTCTTATTTCACAGAGAGTTGGAGTACATTGATATAAACTGAAAAACGTAAGTGCAGTAGAGTACTAGACATATACTATGTAAAACGAAAAACAAAATCAGAATAGCTTTTTGTTGTAAGATCCTCTCCACCAATAACGAGATCCGTTGCTTTGCTCTTAAAAGCCTTGATAGCAAAGTTGTAGAGATCGTCTGTGGACATCTTAATGAGTGTAAGAATGTTTTCTGTCTCCAAGATATCTTTCCTATCATCATCTATTATCAAACAAAAAGAAGCGTGAAACATAGAAACAAATAAATCAAGTTCAAACAAAAACAAAGAAAAGACCATACATAGCCCTTTGGCGTTTGTGAGAAACTTCGATGGCCCAGGGTGGTTCTTCATCCAATCAGAGATGGTGTTGTAAGATCGTCTTTGGACATCTTAAGGAGTGAAAGAATGTTTTCTGGCTCCAAGATATCTTTCCCATCATCATCTATTATCAAACAAAAAGAAGCGTGAAACAAAGAAACAAATAAATCAAGTTCAAACAAAAACAAAGAAAAGACCATACATAGCCCTTTGGCGTTTGTGAGAAATTGCGTTGGCCCAAGGTGGTTCTTCATCCAATCAGAGATGCTGTTGTTCAAATCCCAAGCTTTTTTCAGTGAAATGGTAGCGAGAAGAGTTGCTGCGACAAGAGAATACTTGTGCCTCCAGAGAAAGTTGCCCACTGTTATGGAAAAAATACAAATAAGGGAGGGTAAAAAATGGAAAGACAAATAACAATTTATGGAAAGAAAAGATTATGCAAAGAAACTTTTGGTCATTAAAGGTGTGGTTGTTGTGTTCCTCCTCTTGTCTGCGGCCAAAACATTCAAGTATGAACTGAGAGTCTGGTCATCAACTGGATAAGGCTTGGGTTAAGGAAGAACTCATCGCACTGAGGGCATAGAGGCGTGGTTTCCCCTTGTGCCAACATTTGGCGAACATATCGATTAAGGCACGACTGGCATATTTGGTGGTTACAATCAGTGGTCACTAGAGGGCTATCGATCATGCAATGGTTGCAAAAAGCCAGAGGGCTAAAAGGAGAGAAATCATCTCTGAATCTGATTCTACCACAACCACAAAATTAGCTAGCCAGAGATCTACATAAACAAAGACACTTACCACAAGGCCGACATTGAACTCCAATGAAGGAACCAAAGGACGCGTGGCACCAAGGAATCTCTCATAGTCTTGTCTATCAGCAACAAGACGCTCCTCATTCCACAGGTACTGAATGAGGAGCAGTGTTGAAGTGTTGACGTCCGTTTCTAGAGCTGCGGCCGTTCTTTCTATGGGAGCAAAGAGATCGTCTATTTGTTCCTGATCCATAACTAGCCCCGACAAGCACAAATCACCAATTATTAGTCCGTACGAAAAACCTAGACATCTTCTCCGAATTCGTTATCCTTTTTCTCAGATTCGGATTAGATTCATACCTGACGACGCTCTCTTCCTTCGCCGGTGGTGAAGATTCTGATGATCTCCGATCTGAGAAGAAAAATTCAAATCGAGAGGACTCTTCTGGTGGAAGAAGAAAAAAACAACGAAATGATCTTTTGGCGCTTTGTTTTAAATTTAAAGGCCAAAAATATCTCATTGTCGAATAGAGGATTAACAGATGCGAGAGAAGCGAAAGAGAGAAACAACGAAAAAAAACAGAGACAAGGAAAAAAAATGGAGTGTTCTGTTGTTGTTGTAACAAAAATTGTTTGAGACCTTAAACAAATGACTTTACTCATTTGTTCAAACAAATGACTTTACTTCATAATTGAATATAGCCCTGGGCAAAAAAACCAAAACCGAAAAACCGAACCGAACCGAACCGAAACTATCTGAATGTTTTGGTTTCGGGTGTCACAAAATAATTGAATGGTTCTCTTTCTAAACTATCCACGGATATCGGTTATTAACCGAACCGAACCGATATCCATAGATATCCGCTTTAAACCGAACATAATTTATTTATGAGGCCTAAAGCCCATTTGTCTTCCCTATCCAACTTACCCAACCCATTGCCTAATCCCTACCCTACTTACCCAACCCATTAAGCACAAGCCCATTGTGTGTGATTGTGTCACAGGAAGAGAAGAATGGATGATCAACTCAAGGACTTGAAGATGCTTGTAGAATCTAATAATATTTTACTCTCTCTTTCTCTCTTTCTCTCTTTCTCAAGTCTCTTTTGAACTTGATTATTTTGTTGCGGTCTCAAGTCTAAACTCTTAAGTCTCTTTGAAGTTTGAACTTTGTTATTTTGTTGCGGTCTCAAGTTTTATTTGGGTAATGGTTCGGTTATTTGGATAGTTCGGTTATTTGGTGGGTAAATAACCGAACCGAACCATATCCGAAAGTATTTCGATTATTTTTTAGTTCTCTTCCTAAGTATCCAAACCGAACCGAACCGAAAGCTAACCGAACCGAACCGAAAACAGTTAAGTGCCTAAAACCGAATAACCGAACCGAATAACCGAACGCCCAGGCCTAATTGAATACTATAGAAAAATATATATATATTCATTTTAATATTATATATAGGGACTGACAAAAATATATTATTTTTTCACTTACTATTATAATATATCACAATTTTATTCTAAAATATATAATTTATAAATTTTGTAATAAATAAAATTCAACCCCGGATGATGATCAAGTTTATTAATTAAAATACATGACTATATAACATCCCCGAACCCTCTTTATTTTTTTTGTCTTCTCAAGGATAAT